TTTGTTAACAAATGAGACAATGATGCATAAATCAACTACACACAAATACACTTTGGTTAACAAATGACTGATGCATTACCAGATCATGCTCCAAGTTCATTTAACCAACATCCTGATTATATCTATATCATTTGAGATAATGCAAACATATACAATTACACCGATTATATTTATGCAATATATCACCTTGACACAAATTAAATCCGGCAAACCGGTAGACTAAATAGCAGACCATGATACAATCACACTTTCACAATATTCAGACTTATGATACCACCAAAATTGTACTTTGACACAAATATTACGAATCATACACTTATACTATCACCAATCCAAAACTCAAACTGAAAATAGTTAAAGATTAATTACCATGTAGTCTTCACGTTGGGGATTGGATGCTTCGACTGTAGAGGTAGATGTTGTCGGCCAGGAAGATGAAAGAGACCATCCAACAGATCTTCGAAGTCTTGATCCTTTGGAGCATCAACTTCTGGAGCATCAAAATCTGGGGCGTCAACTTCGTGTTCATCCTCGAAATCAGGTTCATGGTCGGAAATATCACCATGAACGGCTTCTTCTTGGGGAATTTGAACTGGATTTCGATAAGGAGGAGGTTGTGGCTGGTTTTGATGGATAGGGTGAGGTTGACGGTTCGGAATCTAGCTTGTGGTTGTGTCGACGGTGGATACTGAGTCGGCATTGATGTTCTCGACACAGACTGTGTCACCTGAGAGGAAGGGTTCGAGGAATGAGAAGATACTCCACGAGTTCCGCTGTTCACATCGCCAACGGATTTACCAGCAGAACCGCCTCTGTGTAATCAGTCTGCGCCGTTTGGTCTACCACCTCCGCCTGAGGTCGCTCTAACTTCGCCAGTACCACTGTTTGGTTTACCACCTCCGCCTGAGATCTCTCTAGTCTCGCCACCTGCTCTAATAGCTCTGGAGGAAGAAGCACCTTGGTCGCCGTTGGCTGGACCATGAACCTCTGGGTTTTTTAACAATCTACCAGATCCAGCGGAGGATCTAACACCAGAAACGCCGCTATGATTTTTTCCTCGACTCATATAAGGTTTTAGAGCCATAAAGGGGAGTTAAGAAGATTCGAGAGAGAACTAAAAAGATACGAGAGAGAAATTAGTCGGATTGTAACGTTAAAGACAACTCAAAACAAACTTTAAACTTAATAAAGCTTGTTATTAACACGTTTATTTTTTTGATTTATTTTTAATCAGAAATATGTCTAAAGTCAAGCTTGCCTTTAATAAATTTGGCATATTACAAAAAAACCAAAAAAAAAAAATGTTTGCTCCCATCTTTTCGAAACAGATCCGCGAACTATTTTCTCTCTTTTTCTCTCTGAAACGATCTATCAGATTCATTTCTATCGGAATCGTTTGCTCATTCTATCGTCGTCACTAGCAGCGTCTCCGTCTCCCCATCTCGTCGCGGTAAGCCATTCCCTCAATCACATCTTACAATTTTTTAAAAAGGGGTTTTGATTTTGAATGGAGTTTCTTGGGTTTTCGTTTTGCGAGATGATAKGGTTTCGATTTGTACTACGAATTTGATATGAATGTACCGGGAATTGATAACATTTGGAGTCAATTTTGAAATTAGGGTTTGAAGTAAAATTAATTTGGGGTTTTGATTTGTAATGGGTTTTGGGTTGCGAGATGTTTTGATTTGTACTAGTATTATGGTTTGAAAA